TTGAACAGATTTTCAGCCAATCTTTCTGTTTCTATTCCTACTTGTACCTCTGCCTACAAGCTAGTAGAACTTATTTCTAAGCTTTCTGAATACTGTGACATGACTCAGCATGATTCTTGTTGCTATTAACCCACCCATTCCCACTCCTAATTCCTCTTAGGGACTTGGTTTCAGCCCAGTTGGTTTGCTAAGTCTGTATTTTTACACACACACTTCACTCATCCATTTAAAATATGGCAAAAGTAGGTATAATTCTTTGTTGGCCAGTCTTCTCTCCTATTCTCTGAAAATTCCTTTACCATTATTTAGTGAACGGGGGTAGGGAACAATGATAAATGTACAAATGTTTAACTGTAAGTCCTATATGCTATTACTTTTAATTCCCAAATTCTGAATGGATATTTTAAGATTGAACTATAGTTTTCTTCCCTGTTTCCAATATATTTTAATAGCTAGGTTTCTGAATTTGAAAGTCTTCCTTCTTTCTTAAGTTCTGGAGCAGCTGGAGAGAAGTTATCCAATGAAGGTTTGAAGTAAGTCAATCATGAAATTCTGGGTTTGGCAATTTGAGGTGGGCAGCTGGTCTTTTCACCACTTCCCTGATTTTTTTCTATAGTTACTGATGCATGGATTCTTTTATACAGTTAATTTTGATAACCTGTGTTTTCCTAGAAAATTATCCATTTCTTCAGGTTGCTTCTAATTTATTTGCACAAAAGTTTCCTTATAATAATTTTCATTCATATTTTACCTGGTCTTTTCCACACACCCCATTTCATACTTTGGTGTTTTCTTTTTTTCCCATTCCCTGGATTAAGCAACCAGTGGTTTTGTCTATTTCACTGCCTCCCTTTCCAGACCCTCCTCAAAAACAGAAAGCCAAAATAAGCTTTAGACTATTTCTATTGTTTTTCAAATTAGTTGATTTCTTCCTTCATTACTTCCTTATATTTTTATTACTTCTAGAACCCCAAAATATGTAACAGTTAAGATCTGAACTAAATTAATAGAAATTTAGAGATTTATCATTTTCTACTTACTAGTTTAATATTTTAAATGTATTATTGTCATTCTTTGTTTAATAGTGTGTTTAAGGCTACAAATTTTCTTAAGTACCAAAAGCAGTGATACATAGTTTATTAGTGTTCATTTCCAGATACACCGCAATTTTGCATTTTCTATTTACTCATGAATTCTGAGTGTTTTAAGTTCCATGTATTTGTGCCTTTTGTTTGTTTCTACTTTTACTGTTCTTCATTCAGAAATTGTAGCCTGGAAAGATCTGTCAGATTTATTAATCATATTAACAGGATCACTGCTTACAACTGTACAAATTAAGTATTGACCAGCCTGGAGGGAATCATTTACCTTGCAGTCATTGTGGATTTGAGTAGATTTTACAATAATTTCTTGGCACATAGCTGTAAAATATCCTAAGAAAGGGATGCTTTTTAAAAAAAAGTGCAAAAAGTTTATAGGCTGGTGGAAGGGTCATATATTAAGACTTGCATCTTTTTTCCCTAATGTGTCATACATAGCCTGAGAGAGTTGAGTATTGTGAAAATTAATTAAGGGACAGCTCACTGACATGGCATCAGGAGGCTTGCAGGAGAAGCTCTCATGCCCACCATTCCTCCTAAATCTTGGATCCCACTGGAAGAGATGGATGCTACACTGTTTTAGCTACTTTACCACCAACAGGAAGAAGGCTTCCACCTTCTGCCTCCCTCCTATAGCCCAGCCAATTAGAAGCACAGTAAGTGGGACTTCTGGTTTATTCCAATGGCTTTTCGCTTAGAAACAGCCCTTCCACATCAGTCATTTCCCACTGTAAAAGAGTGTTCCTCTCCTTTGTTCTCTGGACATGCCTATGGTTCTGCTGCAGCTTGCATGTCCTGGCTTGCAATTCTGTTTTTCCCTGATAAAGTTGTTTTTGCTGGTAAACCAATCATTTTATTTTTAAGGTTAACAGTACCCTTTGTCACCCCTATGTTTCTATTAATTTAGTTCAGATCTCAACTGTCATGTATTTTGGGGTTATAGTTCACTTGCTCTTTTATTAAAAATAAAATTTTAAATAATTGCCTTTAAAATAACAATTGCTACGTTCAGATTAACCACTTGTGAAGAACCAAGTGTCTGTGTGTGTGTGTGTACCGGTAGGTATGGGAATTCTGCATTGCAGATCAGCGGCATAGTCCTATGACAGGGCACTACAGCATAGTGAAAGTGAGTTACAGCTAAATACATCATCATGGAACACAATTTGGGCAAAACAAAGCAAATACGAGGAAGATACATATGATTCCATTTATACTTTATACTATTTTGATGAGGAATCCACATATGCTAGACTATAAAGGCAATCAAGAAAATAGTAACATGAAATTTACATGAAATTTTTGTTAGTGGCTATGGTGGGAAATCAAGAGAGGGAATCATGTTGGGATGGCCACAATGTGACTGATTTAAAGATACTGTTGATGATCCATTTCTCAAACCATATGGGAGTTCACTTGGTTATACAGTTATAATGTAAATGGATTCATATGCTCTTAAGTTTGACACATTTAAAATATTTGGTTCTTTAGTGACCTTTCTAAAATAGTTTAATGAATTATTGGTACACTGTAAATCTCAATATCAAGCTGCATTATTTCCCACCAAAGTAAAAATAAGTCTGGCATTAATTAAAAAGTTCCTCATAAAGCAGTAGCAACACTGAAGCTATATTTTCTTCCACTTCTATTACTGCTTTTGAAATCTAAAAATAGAGAAATACACATACATTTTTATTCTCAGTATTTTAAACATATATAATGAAGGGTTTACCTTAGATTTCATTTTCCATACCCTGCTTGTGTTAGTTTACCAGACCCATTACACTGGTCTGAATAAGGATGCCAGACTGTAAATAATAGTCAGGACTCTAATAACTACTTTTGTTAATGGCCTGAATTGTTAGCCTTCTCTGAGTCAATATGGAAAGAGGAAGGTATCAAGAAAGGAAAAGACGAACAGAGCTGTCAATGAAAAAGGTTACCAATTAATTTGTGCTTCACCTGATGAGGAAGGGGAAGGAAAGAAGTCCAGAAAACTGGGTATCAAGACATTCTCAGGAAAAGAGCTCAAGGAGAAGGAAATACTCAGCAGTGGCAGTGGAGCAGTCTATGACTCAACACTGAGGGCAGGGGATCATTTTTAAAACAGATTACCTCTTGGAAGAGAAGAGAAATGAACTTTGAGGAAAGTTAGGGGCCATTCTCACTTGGGCTTGTGCACTTGGGATCCCTCTGCCTCACACCAGGTGTATCATGGGGGTTATAAGAGAAAGGGTACATTTTGAAGGAAGTGTGGGCTTTTTTCTTTTATATTCCATAGGTGATTCTAATGCACAGCAAGAGTTGAAAATGACTGGATTAAGGATGCTGCAGCAAAAAGTGCCCCAAATAAGTGAGTGGTGGTACTAATTAAAATAATTACACTGTAGATCACATGCTTCTCTCTGTCTTCACATTAGTTTCCTAATTTGTCTCACAGCTAAGATTCCCTGGAATGCCAAAAAAAGACCACTACTGTTATAGAGCTCTAAGCATTTAAAAATGGCTCCAAAACAAACACTGGCTTTAAAAAGAAAACAGGAATCTATAGTCAATAATGCTTCAATAATCATTTGACAACCTACTGTATATTTTGCATATACTTGTATTTAATGTTTTTTTAAAATTAATTCTGACAAAAATTTAAAAAGCTGGGGCCTTCCCTTTGTCTCTTACTAAAAGTGTGGATTGAAAACAGTGCTTGAGTATCCTTAAGGCCCACTACGGTTTGCAGAACCATTTGTTTAAACCATTTTTAGTGCAAAGTTTATATGTCCTTTACCACACATATACATACACATGTACACGATTTCAAAATCATGATGACATAAATGAAAAAGAACCATTAGGAACACATTTGGAATGCATAGGGCTTTGCACTTATGATATTTTACATTTGCAACTTTCTGCAGTTTAAAAAGCTCTTTTATATGCATTATTTCATTTATACTTACATCCATCCTGAGAGGATAAAATTACCTACATTTTAAAGAGGAGAAAACTGAAGTCCAGAAAGCTAAGTACTTGTTCAAGGTCAAGTTAGACAGCTGGCTAAGTGGCAGAGCCAGGACTTAAATCAGGACTTCCATGTTCCTAGTTTAGGGTTTCTGAAACCCCCAATTAACTTCTACAGGCCAGATCCAGCAATCAAATGAAGTACGTAAGAAGGTGACGCAAACCAAAAAAGAACTACAAGGGTCTTATTAGGAAGATCATTAATCACTCACTGAAGCACCAGTGAAACACCTATGTCAGGCCCTGCCTGAGCCATTAAATCTCTCTCGTAGGCCAGTCATCAGAACGTTCAAAAGAGGCCCAGGTTATTCTAACATGCACCATGGTTGAGAACATCTGATCTACATTAGGTGATACAAATGGCAACAGTGCATTATGAACATGTTTTCCAACTATCATTCAGTTTTACTTTTATATTTTCTTTTTACACGAATTAACCATCACTCCTTAAACAGATGACAGTATGACAGAGTTTAATAAAGCCAAAATGATGACTTTAAAGATCTCAGTATTAGTTCTAAGAAGGTGTATAACTCTGAAGAAGACTAATTAATGAAACTACATTGTTCTGTCTTATTTTTATGTTTATTCTAAAAACAAAAACAACTCTCTCTATTCTACTCAATATTTAGGATATCCAATTAAAAGTAAGGCCTTTGGTTTATACTTTTAAGAACATCTGAAAATTGTTATCTTCAACTGAAGGAAAAAAAATCCAACCACCTTTTATATAATACTACAATTAAGTTGCATTCATTTGAGGTATAGGAAGCTTTACTGTACTAAACATAATGAATAAATTAAAATAACAGTTGAGGTATTTAAGGGACCAATTAGATGGCAGCTAGCACTGAAAATCATTTAAAAACATTAGATCAATCTTACCTTTTGTAGACTTGTTGGATTCAACTGAGTTTTGTCAATTATTTTTATTGCAACCTAGAAAAAATAAATAAATACTTACGGATTTTAAGAACTTGGTAATTATAGACTAACTGGTAATGGTTTTGTAAATGCCCACACACAGCACTGTTAAAAGGAAAGCAAGTAAACACACCTAAAAAACTAAAGCTCAACAAGTTAAAATAATATTTTATGTTTTATAATTGAAAAGAGGGGCTTCATGCAAAGAAGGATGTTATTATAACACTTTATATTTCAATTACCTATAGAAATATCCCACAAACCAAAGGAAAAGATAAAAAAAGAGATTACACAATGAAAACACTTATAAAAACGTATGACAACGTAGCAAATCTCCTATTCACTATTTACTGACACTTTTATCTGACTGGAATCTAAGGGCAGGAACCACAGCTTTTCTGGGTATACAGAGCACAGAATGTCTCCTAGTGCACTTGTACACAATGGAAACTTGATAACTGAGCAAATACACGAACAAATAGGTTGGTGTTGAACCTGAAAAAATTTTTTTAATTTTATGAAAAAAAAAGAAAGAAAAAGAAGGAAAAGGGATTAGTTTCAGACCAATCTGTAGACTAACCAAGTGAGATACGTACAGAGGCAACAAATAGGTCACCTGGAAGCCTTTGTTCAAAAGCGGTGAGTGTACCCAGCAGCCTGAATACAGGCCGCTAGGACATAGGAAGAAGGAACTATAGCTTCTGGTTATATCACTTCTTACCTTGAAAAAAAAAATAGTATTACTAGTATTTACTAAGTAGTTCTGCACCAGAATCCTCATCTGGCCAGTTCATCACTCCTTGAATACAAGTGATTTCCAGGAAGTGTGGATATCCAGAATCAGGATATGGGGATGATGACAGGCAATGGAAGGAACATAGATAAAATGGAAGCTTTGCCATGAACTGGAGAAAATAATTAACTCCGCTTTGCCCCTGAGGTCTGGAACAATAAATGATCTTGCTCCATGTCAATGAGGCTCTCTGTTCCTACAGTGCATCCTTCAGGGCACAGACCCAGTAAGCACCACTGAAGAAAAGGACTGTAGTCAGTGCGGGGAAAGCACTCGGAGATTTTCTGTCAGTGGTTCTTGAACTTTTTGGTCCACTTTACACTCTTACTTAAAGATAACAGATGACCCCAAATATGGGTTATATCTATTGATATTTTGCCCTATTACAAACAGAACCTGAGAAATTATAAAAATAAGTATTACACAATTCATTCAACATAATATTCAACAAATGATTCTGAGAAAACTGGATATTTACATGTAAAAGAATGAAGCTGGATTCTTACCTAATACAAAAAGTAATACAAAGTAGATCAAATACCTAAATGATAGACCTAAAACTACCAAAAAACTCTTGGAAGAAAACAAAGGGCAAAAGCTTCACAACACTGAATTTGGCAATGATTTCTTGGATATGATACCAAAGGCACAAGTAACGACAGCCAAATTGGACTTTATGAAATTTAAAAAATTTTGTGCATCAAAAGAAAAGACAGTATCAACATAGTAAAAGGTTACCCACAGAATGGGAGAAAATATTTGCACATCATCTCTCTGATAACAGATTAATATCCAGACTACAATAAAGAACTCCTAAAACTCAACAACAAAAAACCTGATTCAAAAATGGGCAAAAGACTTGAAGAGACATTTCTCCTAAGATATACAAATGGCCAATAAGCACATGAAAAAAAATGCTCCGTATCACTTATCATTAAGAAAATGCAAATCAAAACTACCAGATACCACTTCACACCCATAAGGATGGCTACTATCAAAACAAAACAAATAAAATACATAAATAACAAGCATTGGTGAGGATGTGGAGAAACTGGAACCCATGTGCACTGTTGGTAGGATTGTAAAATGGTACAGCCACTGTGGAAAATAGCAGAGTTCCTTAAAAAGTTAAAAATAGAATTACCATTTGATCAAGCAATTCCACTTCTGGGTATATACCCAGAAGAATTGAAAGCAGGAACTTCTACAGATATTTGTACTCCCATGTTCACAGCAGCATTATTCACAATAGCTAGGACATGAAGGCAACCCAAGTGCTCGCTGAGGGATAATGCCATGTATTCATATAGGACATTTTTCAGCCATAAAAAGGAAATTTTGGCACATACTACCAGACAGAAGAATCTTAGGGACACTATGCTAAGTGAAATCAGCCAATCACAAAAAGACAAAAATACTGTATGATTCCACTCATGTGAGGCACTTAGAGTATTTTCAGAGACATAAAGTAGAATGATGGTTGTCAGGGACTGAGGGGAGGAAGAAATGGGGAATTAGGGTCTAGTGGGAGCAGAGTTTCAGTTTTACAAGATGAAAGAATTTTGGAGATGGATGGTGGTGATAGTTGTACAGTGATATTTAATGCCACTGAAATAAACACAATGGTTAAGATGGTAAATTTTTATGTGCATTTTATCACAATTAAACAATTGGGGCAAAAAAGCTCATTATATATTAATATAAATAACATTTTAATTAAATTCTTTTATGTTTTTCTGTATTCAATCCATTATATCACACATCTCATGGCCTCTAAAAATTCTACTTTACACTCGGGAGAATGGAAAATGCAAATAATGTCTTAATAGTATTACAAAAACAGTTTTAACTTTGCAAACCCCCTAAAATGGTCTCAGAAAACCTCCAGGGGCCCCCACGCCAACTTCTAGAACTGCTGCACAATTCATTTTAACACTTAAAAAAAAACACCCCAAAACGCTTAACTTGGGTCTAAAGCCTCCAAGTGTCCAAGTTATTTGATTAATTCCTACGAATCCATTAACCTCCAGAGAAACTAAAGACAAGCAGCTGCTGCAGCAAAGCAACCATGAGTGATGTGGAGTAGAAGGAACCCACCATTCAACCCATCCTCACTGGAGGAGGAAGAAAATAAGAACTGGAGAAGGGTGGAGAGTTCAAGTCCGTGTGCTTGCAAAAAGCACAATCAGAATTCTACTTCTGTATTTGGAAACAGAAGTCTTGATGGGAACAGGAACTACAGTAAATAAAGTGAAAGGTAACATTGGCTGCTGGAATATACAATGACCACCTTGTACATTTTCACTAGGAGAGAAGACATTTATATGTTATTATAGCCTTGACCCCCTACAAGGTACACAAGCAGCATTCAATAAATGCTTGCTGGCTATATCTGAGGCCTTAACCACTCCTAATCAGCAACCACACACATCTTACAGATAGAGACAGAACAGTGAAGGAAGGGTTTCTAGAGTTTTAACAGATACCAACAGGGTTTAAAAATCACATTATTTCAAGTTGAATGAATTAATTTTCCCCTAACTTTACTTTTATTAGTAATTTTGTGTGGTATACTTGGATTCCCCAATTTCCAAAGTAAACCCCTTTCTTTAAAAATACAGTTCTTTTCTGGCCACCATTCTATTTTCTTTCTCCTCATGGCCAAATCCATCAACTATGCTGCCTTTACAGGTCCTCTTCTTTGTGGTCTTCTGAGATCTGGTTTCTAGTCTCCTGACCACTCGTTTCTTCTGGTTCTGCTCAATATCTGACTATTATAAAGATTCTATTCTGATACATTTTCGTTTTCAAGTACTGCTGTTCACATAGTATCTAAAACATAAACAGGAGCTCAAAATATTTTGCATTCAGCTAAGTCAAACTGTAGTAGAAGAGTCATTTTATCAGAAAACAAGTGTCCACAGAGTGAGACATTGTCATTTAACCAATGTGTGTACGATGTGTGTATGTGTGACGGTGAAGCCTGACCAGGAAGCTCCTAAACCCCTCTTCCTTCCAGCTCCCTGCTGGGATAACTCAACTACCAAAATAACCTTGGCCAAGAACTGGAGACTGGAGGAGAGCTGAGAACTTGAGGTCACCAAAAGAGGAGACAACTGTGGGGCACCACTAGATGTCTCAAAGATGGAGACTGGAGTGAAGACCACCTACCTACTCATTCCCAAGGTTGTGAGTTTTTTATGTTTTTTTTTTTTTTGCTTGTGGGTACACACAGCAAAAGTCCAAGACAGCTCACAAGGTGAGGAAAGAGGACAGGAGTGTCCCTGTCACTTACTGTGTAAGTTCTTGGAAATTCCACTTATTCACCGATGCCAGAAACAAAGTGGAAAATTACAAAATGGGGATACAGAGAGCTCGTACATGAGGAGGGCTTCCGCACCATTCCTCAACCAAAAGGGCCCAACAATCTTATAGCAAATACCCAGTAGAGAAAAATCCTTCTTTCACACCCTTTCAATTTACTGATGGTCCAAAGATCCTAACATCCTGCTCCTGACAGGTGTTAAAGCACCCAAAACCACTAAAAGAACAGGTAAAAAAATATTCCACATCCTTTAATAAGAGGACACAGTAGCCTAGAAGAATGCGTGTTAGCCAGGGCTTCTACAACAAAAAGTAGACTAAGGGGCTTAAAGAAGAGAAGTTTACTTTCTCACAGTTTGGGAGGCTGGAAGTCTGTGAGTCTTCAATCAGGGTGCCAGCATGGTCAGTTCCTGGGGAGGACTCTCCTCCTGGCTTGCAGATGGCCACCCACTTTCTCCCTGTGTCCTTACATGGCAGTGAGAGAGCGAGCAAGCTCTCTAGTGTGTCTTCTTACAAGGATGCTAATCCTACTGGATTAGGGCCCTACCCTTATGACCTAATCTAACCTAATTACTTCCACAAAGGTCCTACCTCCAAACACAGTCATATTAGGGGTTAGGGCTTTAACATATGACACACTAGGGGGACAAAAATCAGCCCACAGCAATGTAGATCAAGCCAAACAACTACAACAGGTGGCTTCAAAATAAAACTTCAAACTAAAACCCAGTGATACACAACAACATGGGTGAATCTTACAAGCATCAAGTGGAATAAAAGAGGGAGGCACAAAATAATATATACTGTATGATTCCATTAGTATAATGTTAAGAAAACAAAACCAAAAATAACCTATGATGTCGAAGGCAGAACAGTGGTGTCCTTGCAGAGGAAGGAT